GGACTTAGCACCCCTGTCTAAAAAAAAAAAAAAAAAAAAAAAATGTCTGAGGATGTAGTTCAGTGTGAAGGCCCTAGGTTCAGTCCTCAGTACTGTCCTTTGCCTTATAAAAGACAAGTCACTTCCCTCCTCTGCTCAAAAACCTCTATTCCATCCCTATCACAACTCACAATAAAGGACAGAGTCCTCACAACAAGTCAGTGGGATCCTATTGCCCTTGCTTATACTATTTAAACCATACTGGCCTCAATAACCCAACACAGAGTCTTTGCACTAATGGTCCCCTTTGTCTGGAACTATTTTTCCACAGATATTTACATGGCTCCTATCTTCATGCACCTTCTCAGTGAAGCTTTCCTGCCATGCCCTTAAATATTTACTATTTGTCTTATGTTATGGCTTGTGTCTAAATGTTCTCCAAAAGCTTCATGTGGTTATAAGTGGTCATAGGCTTTTTGCAATGGTTGGATCTACAGTGTGTGATGCCGGGATTTAGGCTGTGTGATTGCTAAATTAGTCTGTTGATTGGTTTGGCATAATTCTGGATGTGAATAATGGGAAGGCCCACCCTGAGTGTAAGTGCTATCTACTCTAAGGGCATGTATCCTGGATAGAATATAAGGGACAGAAAAAGGCTGCTGCCATGGCTTGCAGCTTGCTGCTTGCTACTTTACTGCTTTTCTGCCTTCCTGCCTTCTGCCCACCATGAGCTGTTTCTCCTCCATGATGCCTTATTGCAATGCCACCCTGCCTTGGAATCAGCCAGTTATGAAATAAAACCTCTCAAATAGTGAGCCAAAAATAAATGTTTCCTCCTTTAAGTGTTGGGTATTTTGTCTCAGCAACATGAAAAGTAACTAAGATAGATTTTGAGACTGAAATGCAGAGGCGTGGTAATAGGGGTGATGAAAGAATTTACCAAGACAAAATAAAGATAGAGACAAAAGTTTATTTATATCATAATACATGGTCAAGAGGGACAGTGTCAAGACAAAGGGAGATCTGAACCAGAAGGAAGGGTCATGGTATTTTTAAAGGAAAAAGTGTGGTCTAGAAAGAGGGAGAAGAGATGCCAGGGAGGATAAGAACAGTGCCTTGGACCCCAAGACATAAGAAGGAATGTTAGGGATGATCAAGTTGTAGGCTGCTAAAACAGCTCTTTTGAGAGCAGAGGACTAGACGCTGATATAGGGCCAAATGGAGGCCAAAATGGATTCTTTCTGGTTATATAGCACTGTACTTTGTTTTCTTTTGTCCCCATCAACCTCTAGTACATTGTAATATTTAGAAATTGAATTTATTATCTGTGCCCTTCAAATAGAAGTTCTAGAAGGCCAAGTTTCTTCTGTGTTATATCCCCAGTGGATGGGACAGTGCCAAATACATATTAGGCATCCAGCTGCTGTCACAAATTTTGTACCATCAAGCTATATAATGCTTTAATTATTGTTTAATTCTCAATGTTTTGTATTAACAATATTATTTAGTTTTTGCAAATTTTAAAACTAAATTTTGTCCCAGCACTGTGGAAGGCTGAGGTGGGTGGATCCCAAGTTTGATCTCAGCTTGGGCAATTTTGTGACTTAGAGATACCTTGTCCAAAATAAAAAAGAACTGGGGATGTAGCTCAGTGCAAAGGCTCTAGGTTCAATCCCCGTACTGCCAAAACAAAAACAACACACAAAACAAAAAACAAAACAACAACAACAAAAACAAAAAAAAAAAGCTTAAATGAAAAAGAATCTTAGGTCCAGGGAATTTAGCTCAGTGGTACCACCGCTTGCCTTGCAAGCACAAGGTCCTGAGTTCAATTCCTGGTACCAAAAAATCTTTAGGAAATGTATAAGCTATAAGAAACAACAGCATAATGTTTTTATTACCAAGAAAAAGTTATCCTATATCTTTGAAGTCCCTTTGCTGTCTTTGCCTTCAGAGTGACTATCATCCTGAATTTTATATTTATCATTCTCTTGAAGTTTATCTTCTTAAACAATTTGCTTTTTGTCTTGCTTTTTATGTTTTGTTGTTCACAGCTGTAGCTGAGTTGCTTCTATTACTATATTATTAAAAATAATTTCTTCTCTAATTCAAAAGCATATGGATCACATACACATTTCAGATATTTGGTTTTGCCTTTAAATCTCAAGTTGTGTATCTCCCTGCTGCTGTGTGAAGGATCTAACTTCAATTTTTTTCATATGCAGAATATTCATCCTTATTAAAATTTCTTGAAAAGACTCTCAACACCACTATATTAGTTACTTTTCTCATTGCTGAGACAAAATGTCCAATAGCTAAAGTTAAAGGAGGAAAGGTTTATTTTGGCTCACAGTCGTAGAGGTTTCAATCCATAATCTGCTGGCTCCAGGGCAGGGTGGCATTGCAATGGGGCATTGCAGAGGAGAAACAACTCATGGCAGGCAGAAGACAGAAGGCAAAAGGCACCAAGCTACAAGGGAAAACAGCACCTTCTTTCTGTTCCTTTATATTCTATTGAGAATACCCCCTAGTTAGGGTGGGTAACACCACACCCAGAACAATGCCAGACCAATCAGTGGACTAATTTAGTAACCACACACTTAGTCCTAGCATCACACTGTGAATTATTCCTAGCATCATGTCTTTGATCCTAGCAGCACAAATCCTAGATCCAGCCACCCCCTAAAAGCCACACCTATGACCACATGAGGCTTTGGGGGCATATGTAGATACAAGCCTTAACAAGGACAGATTTTCAATGCCAGAAGTGTCATGTATCAAAATCCTATAAATATGTGGGTCTTTTTCACTGGTGTGTTTGTCTGTTTCTGTGCTAACAGCATGCAATCTTACAATCTTAATTCAAATTTACCCCCCATGTTTTTTGGTTTTTGTTTTTTGGTACTGGGGATCAAATTCAGGACTTTGAGCTTGGGAGGCAGGGGGCGGAACCACTGAGCTAAATCCCCAGCCCACCACTTTTATTCTTTAGGAGTGTTTCTACTACTGTTAATCCTCTGTTCTTGCCCATAAAATTTAGGAGCATTTTTTTTTCATGCAAAAATTAGGATTTTGACTGCTATTGCACTGAATCTTTAGATTATCAGGTAAATAAAAAATTTAAATATTGAATTTTCCTACCCATCTACATGGCAACTCTTAATTTTTAGGATTCTTTTCAAAGTTCTAATAAAATTTGTCATTTTTTCTACAAAGGTCTTGCACATATTTAATTGGACTAATATTTAGGTAATTTATATTTGATGCTTTTATTATAGCTTTTTTAATATAAATTTTAGATATTTTTTCTAACGTATGGAAATATAATTAATTGATTTGTATACTGAACTTTGATAAAACAATTATCTGTGTAGATTACTGGCTCTGTAATTCATGAGCCAATTTCTAAAACATGTATTTGTTAGCTACCTTTTGTTAAACTTTGGACACTTAAAATGTAGGTTTTTAAAAATTTTTAAAGGTACTTCAGAATATTTGAGTCTTCCTTTGTGAACTAATGTGTTTTCAATTTTTATAAACATTTTCACATGTCCCAGAATGTCTCTGTGGGATCTACAGTTTTATATATTTATGTTAAAGTTAAATATTATTTCTGGAAGTAATTTTTATGCCACAACTAATTTCATTTGTTAAGTATTCAGTTTCAATTAGATGACTCTCCAAAAATCTAGAATATGAAAATTAGTATTCCTTTTTGTCAAAAGAAGTCTTGACGCTGAAAGGACAATCTGTTCAAATTCCACAGCAGTAGTTGAAATTTTAACTTTAATCTGTTACTTTGTTTACAACACAGGTTTCTAGGCTAAAAGCTTCAGCCACTCGTTATTCCACCTGACCTTCATCCCCAGTATCTACTGCGATGTGAGGCCTTTTAATTTTTATATCCTCCAAACTCTATGATTCATCTGACCTTTACTGCTACTTCCATTGTCACTAAAGAATATAAATGCCAGTGATAAAAAGCCACTAGAACCGTGTTGCTGCGATATTTAAACCCTTTTACCTACATTACTTCATCAAGATTAATCAAAATAGGCAAGTATTACAAAATAGAAAACGTTCTCAGAGTTCATACAACATATTTAAACTCTCATACAGTTGCAAATACAGTTTTCCAGAAGGTAAGACTTTCTGTAGTCTCGTATTTATAAAAATGTTATTTAAAATAAAGTTTTAAAAAATATCTTCTACTGTGAAACATCAGACTAAAGCTAGATTCATGGTGAGGAACATTGCTCTCTGGATCATCTCATTCGGTTTAATTTTCCTCGCTTCAAAAAAATTTAGGTCCCAAGTGGTGCTGTAACTTGCTAAGGAAACGGCCTAGGATCCAGATTTGTACCCACCAGGTGGAACCATTAACTGCCTACTGGGAATACGGCCAATCACAGGGAATTACGCCAGCGTCTCAGAATACGGCCTCAAGTTCTAAACTGTTGTAGCACAAAAGTTCGAGGCACATAATTTCATTTTAAAACAAAGATTCCACTGTCAAGTGAAATGGCAGATGTTATTACAGTGCCCTCAGTACTGCACTCGAATTGAGACTGGTACGGAATGGAAGTCAGGAGACAGTTAACAGCAGCTCTCCAGGAAACATACTGAGTCCAGGGAAAATGGAACCCACCCAGGGCGAAAAAGAGGAAAGCCCAAAGCACAGATTTGTTTCTGCTGGAGGTGAGGGCTGGCGTCGATACCTGTACTGCATAATGCTCAGCGTAGTCTCAGGCTGCGCCCCAAAGCCAGGTAAATGCTGGTTCAGGTAGGTTTCCAAGGCTTTATGGTCAAACTTGTGCTGGGGCAGCACTTCGGCGGTGTCGGGCTCTCTCCCTGTAGAATCTGTCCTCATGACTGCCGCCGCCGCTGCTGCAGTTCGCGAAGAGGGCAGCTCACCACTCCAGAGTGCCAAGGTATCTCAGGTGGAAAGGCCAATAACCCGGCTCTGGGGCTGGAGGCCGGGGCGGGGCCAGCCCTAGCCAATCACAGACGCTCTCGGCGCCGCGGCTGAACTATGTGGACCCGCGGAATCCCCAGCTCAGGTCCGGATAATGGAAGCGCCCGCTGTGCGTTCCAATTCAGAATTTTCTGTCAGTCAGAGACCTTAATTTTAAAGATAGCAAAGTCACAGTCGTCGCAACAGGCGAAGAAGGCTACAGAGGCCTTTTCACCCCCAAATTTAAGGAACGGTCAGGCGGAAGACGATAGATAGGGTCCGGTCCGGTTTAGAAAAGAGACCGTCGGGATTGAGAGCCCTGGAATAATAGATCCTGGTTTCTCCTAGCTGCTTACTTAGAAAGGCAGCGTCGCCGCCCGCCTGCTCTAGACACAGATTCTGGTCCTCCTACTGCCTGCTTTAGCAGATCTAGCAAGGAAGGAAGCCAAGAGCAGTGAGTTTTTGCCGGGGGAGCGATGACGGCGACGCACCGGAAGCGGGACCATGGGAGGCCGGCGGGTGTGAGGGAGACGTGTCCGTCTGCGAGGCCCTGGGACCGCTTCCTTAGGTGTTGGGGCTTGCCAGGCGCGGGCTGAGACCTCCTGTGTCCTCTCCTGGGCTCAGCCGAGCAGC